ACTCAGTCCCAATCAGCCATAACCCAGCAGCCAGCTAACCTCCTGGTTAGAACATCTGCCCCCTGGTGGTCAGTGCACATTATATTGACTGGTCAACTGTCTACCCCCTGGGGTGGTCAGTGCACGTCATAGTGAGTGGTTGAGCAGCCTTAGCATATCATTAGCATATTACACTTTGATTGGTTGAAAGGTGGACTAGTCAACAGGACACTTAGCATATTAGGCTTTTATTATATAGGATAGATGAGGAAACCAAGGGATAAAAGAGTAAGAAACCTGTGACAGAACTAAGTGTCTAAGCCAGCCGTGGGCAAACTACGGCCCACGGGCTGGATCCGGCCCGTTTGAAATGAATAAAACTAAAAAAAAAAAAGACCGTACCCTTTTATGTAATGATGTTTACTTTGAATTTATATTAGTTCACACAAACACTCCATCCATGCTTTTGTTCCAGCCCTCCAGTCCAGTTTAAGAACCCATTGTGGCCCTTGAGTCAAAAAGTTTGCCCACCCCTGGTCTAACCCCAATTCTCATCCTACTTATACTATTCTCAAAATGCAAGCTACTAATAGTCTTTTATTCCATCTAGAAACTCTCCCAGCATTTTCTCTCTCAGCTTCCACTGACTATGCTGACTTCAGAGTTTAACAGAAAATATATGGTTACATTATAAGCTCCTGGGGGGCTGAGAATCAAATGTTTTATTTTTCTTGTAGCCTTTGGGAAATAAATGAAACAATAGTCCTTTATAAACTTATTTCATAATTGAACTTTTAATGCTTGAGCTTTACTTCTAACCAAATGGTATGAGATGATAGCTCGCTGATTCACATACCTAAGTGTTCCATCCATGAGAGCATGCATCATTTACAGCTGCCCTTTTAACCAGAGGCTATTACATTGAACAAAATCTCATATTCATTAGAGCCAGCTTCCCTCAAAGAGCAACATTATACTGAATGAAAACCTTTTTAATTGCTGGATCCATTTTCACAGAAAAAATACAAAACAAATGCCACACATTATCCTACAAATAAATATACTAGCATATATGTTTGCCTGAAGCAATTATGAAACTGGATTAGAAGTTTTGTAGTAAAAAAGATCTGGATTAGAATTCTAACCATTTTCTAGCTGAGAGGCCATGAACAAAATACTTCCTTCTCTAAGCCTCAGTTTCTACATTTATAAAATGGGGGCAAAAGTTAATGATACCTCATGTGGTTGTTTTAAGGTTTAACTGAATTGTCTGTAAAGCAGCCGTTCTCAACCTGTAGGTCGCGACCGTCGGAAAACACATATAGCATATCAGATATTTACATTACGATTCATAACAGTAACAAAATTACAGTTATGAAATAGCACGAAAATAAATTTATGGTTGGGAGTTACCACAACATGAGAAACTGTATTAAAGGGTCACAGCATTAGGAAGGTTGAGAACTTTTTACAGTGTAAAGGGACCCGTCATAACATGTGGCATTAAGTTAGTACTCAATAAATGTTAGCCATTATTATTATTATTAATTACTAACATGCATACCAGAGAACATACCACAAAGCATTTCAGCTCACTGAATACACTTATTTCACCCACTTCATTTAGACTATGAGGTGAGAGCAGAAATTATAAATACTCTATTTCCAACAGAGTTTTGGGTTACAGGAGATATTCAACAAATCATTACTCAGTAAATGAATGACTCAGTGAATGCATAATACCAAGACAATTAAGTTTAATTTTGTAGCATACTCTAAGATTCTAAGGAGAAGCCTATTTGTTGTCTCAAGTGGCCTAACTACACAGCAGCAATAACAAAATACACATTTTCTAATCAGGGGATTCCTAACTCATGGGTGCCTATCAGCTATGATCAACTGTGAGCTCCATCTAATCCAATCAAAGTTTAAAATGAATTGCATTTCAGCCAAAAAGACCACCACTGAGGTTTCGAGGAGCAACCCCATCAGAAAGATACCAAGAGGGGACACCTAGCCTGAGACATTAGAAGTCTACAGCAGACAACACACATTCAGAGTGTCAGGAGGTTGACAGCTACCATTCTTGAAGTGCTTCACAGGTTCAAACAGCAGGTCCAAGAATATCTGGATCTCCTCTGGTTGGGTCCCAGCCAGGAACCTCAGAACAATGGCCATGCGGGTGCCTGATGCAGATTTCCCCTGAGTTTTACTCCCAGTCTTATTCTTCATTCGCCCATACAAAATCCTAAGATGTCAAAAGAACATTATTTTGTTTGCACATTAACCCTGAAACACAATACTACGTGTTTTGTTTTCCTGAAAAAGGGTAGCATAGCAACTCAACAGATTTAAATGGATATACTATGAAACAAGGAAGCATGAAATAGGATTTGGATATTTAACACAGAAATTTAGTTAAACATCAACACACACACACACAAACAAGGTTAAGGGAAGCAGGAAGAAGGAAATAATAAAGATGAAAAAAGTGCAATTAAAGTAGGCAAGCCAAAGGTAAGTCTAATGAAAGAATGAAAACAACTATATATAGATTAAAAGGAAATGAAATGAGAATACAAGTACCATAAGGAAACTAGAAAGATTTCAATTAAATGGGTAATTTCCTGGGGGAAAATCTCATGTATAAATAAGCAAAAATAACTTAAGAAGAAAACCTAAATAGGCCAGTAATCCTGAGTGAATGTGGAACTCATATAGTTTTACAGATACATTTTTTAAACATTCAAGGAAAAACAATTTCCAAGAGAGAAAGCAGGAAACTGTCCTTTTCCATTTATGAAGGTGGTCTAACTGTGACAATGAGAAGGGTTAAGGAACAAAACTATATACCAGTCTTCCTGTGAAAATAAAACACAACATTTCTAATTACAGCATCCAATGCTGTATTAAAACAAGATAAATAAGGATTATCCCAGAAATGCAAGAAATAATATTTAATAAAATCTATTAGATTAATATAGGTCAATGGCTCATAGGAAAAAATTATTACATGCTTAATAAGCATTCTAATAAAATTCAACATCCATTCCTCATGACATATTCAGTAACCTAGTAATAAAAGCTACTTTCTTAGCATGATAAAACTCTCTGACATAATGTCTCAGTCGTATTAGGAAAAAAATTTCACTTTGTGAACCTCTGAACAGTGTCCCAGGGACAGCCTGTCAAGACAAAGCAGACCATACTTTAAAAGTGGCTGTTCTACCTGGCTGGTGTGGCTCAGCAGTTGAGCATCGACCCAGAAACCAAGAGGTCGCTGTTTCAATTCCCTGCCAGGGCACATGGCCAGGCTGCAGGCTCAATCCCCAGCAGAGGCCATGCAGGAGGCAGCCAATACGTGATGTTCCTCTCTCATTGATGTTTCCATCTCTTTATCCCTCTCCCTTCCTTTCTCTATAAGTCAATTAAAACATATATATTTTTTAAAAAGTGGCTGTTCTACAGATTGACAAATGTGAGAGGGAAGATGGGGTAGGTGGGAAGAGATTAACCAAAGAACTTTTATGCATACTAGATTAATATAGGTCAATGGCTCATAGGAAAAAATTATTACATGCTTAATAAGCATTCTAATAAAATTCAACATCCATTCCTCATGACATATTCAGTAACCTAGTAATAAAAGCTACTTTCTTAGCATGATAAAACTCTCTGACATAATGTCTCAGTCGTATTAGGAAAAAAATTTCACTTTGTGAACCTCTGAACAGTGTCCCAGGGACAGCCTGTCAAGACAAAGCAAGTCCTCTCAGCCTGCCTGTACCCTCTCGCAATCCGGGATATCTGACTGCCCCTGGGATCGGGCCTAAACCAGCAGTCCAACATCCCTCTCGCAAACCAGGACCACTGGCTCTTAACTGCTGGCCTGCCTGCCTGATTGATCACCCCTAACTACTCTTCCTGCCTAACTCATCACCCCTAACCTCTCGCCTGCTTGCCTGATCGCCCCTGACCACCTCTGCCTTGGCCCCTGCCACTGTGGCTTCATCTGCAAAGACGTCTGGAATGATGTCCGGAAGGTCGTTCGGCTGTCCAGTCTAATTAGCATATTACGCTTTTATTATTATAGATACGCATAACTCATGGACACAGACAATAGTGCGGGAGGGTGGGGGCAGATGTGGGGTGGAGGGGGCCAATGGGGAAAAAAAAGGGACATCTATAATACTTTCGACAATAAAAATAAATACTACCCTCCCCCAAAAAAGTGGCTGTTCTAGAAGCATTACTGTTAAATCCAGAAGCAACACAAAGATGATCACCACCACCAGCAGCAGCACCATCACCTCCACAGTTAGTTCTTCTAGGCCAGTGGTCGGCAAACCGTGGCTCTTGAGCCACATGCAGCTCTTTGGCCGTGTGGCATGGGCCACAGTTTCATTCGCACTGTACATGCGCACCCGCACATGGTATTTTGTGGAAGAGCCACACTCAAGGGGCCAGTTTGCCAACCACTGTTCTAGGTTATGTAGGCAATATGACCATTAAAAACAAACAAACAAACCAACAAAACCAATACAAAAAAACAGAAAGAGATTTTATATCATAAAAGAGGATACAAAATTAATTTGACCAATATTTACTAGAGGCCATAGAGTTCACCTTCTAGCTATAAAAATAAGAAGAGGGAGAACCAAGATGGCGGCATAGGTTAACGCCGGAGTTTGCCGCCTCGAAAAACCACTTCAAAAGTGAAACTAAAAGACGGAAGGGACATCATGGATAATATGATTCATAAAAGAGGATACAAAATTAATTTGACCAATATTTACTAGAGGCCATAGAGTTCACCTTCTAGCTATAAAAATAAGAAGAGCTATGGTGGATGAGTATAGTGAAGAAAAATAGAGGTAAGGGACTAGAGTGATAAGGGTGTGACCTTATATAATGAGGTCAGGGAAGGCATCTTGGATAATATGATTCTGGAGATGAGGCTGAATGAAGAGTAGTTAACTGTTATGTGTTCCAAGCAGAGGGATGGCAAGTCCAAGGACTCTAAAGTGGGCTCTGAGGGCACGGTAAATGGAAGAGACATGGTTAGAGGGGCTGTCTGGACTAGGCCATTCCAGGCCCCCTAAAAAGCAGTAAGGACTTCCTATTTTATTACCTCAAAGGGTTTACAATAGAGACTAACAATCTGACTGATGACTGTTATTTACTACTATTTTTTTTTGAGCAAGAAAATCCAATGAAAAATATTAAAACTAATAACAAAGTTTTGTGATGAAATGGTTAAATAAGTAATACAAAAAGTCAATACCTTTTATATCTCATATTTAGTTACATACCAAAAAAGGAATTATTTTTATTACTTCTCAACAGTAAAACTTAGAGCAATGTTGAGTTTCACAACTACTGAGTCATAATACTATTATTATCCACAATTGTTTTTGTGATCAACTATTAAAAAAATCAGTATTTAGCCAGGCTCAGTGGTTGAGCATTGACTCAGGAACCAGGAGGCCGGTCAGGGCACATGCCTGGGTTGCGGGTTCTATTGCCAGTAGCAGGCGTGCAGGAGGCAACTGATCAATGATTCTCTCTCATCAGTGATGTTTCTGTCTCTCTCTCCCTTCCTCTCTGAAATCAATGAAAACATATATTTAAAAATATAAAAATAAACCAGAATTTAAACAATACAAATACCTCATCAGAACAGCAAACAGATCTGCTCGGTGGGCCGTTTTCACTACTGTATTATCTTCTGAAATGCTAAAATGCACTATCTCTTCCTTAAAGCTTCTGTCTTCAAGCAATCTCTGTAAATTTTCCCTTTAAAAACAGCAAAAATCATCACTTAATAATCAACAGTGCTTTTTTAAAAATACAATATGGTAGAGTACTACGTGTAACAAAAAATAGATACTAAAGAATAGTCTATAAAGTAGTTGACATCCATAAAGAAAATCTTCACAGAAATACCTTCCAAAATGATAGGTTCTCAATTTTTAAAAGAGGGATTATAAAGAGTTAGACTTAGTCAATAATTCAGCTGTTTCAACGAGCATAATACAAAAGCTTTCTTCAGTTTTTAAAGTGATTGTTATGATTTGCTAAGTAGTCACCAAAATTTTAAGACATTATGTAAGCAAGGAAAAATGATATAATGTTCTCAACACATACTTTTAAATTAATATTCTCTTTCCCACCTTATTATTATATATATGGAGAAGCACTCTTAACAAATAAATATACTCCCAGTTTTAATTTCTTACCTAAAATAACATTATGATTTCCTTAGAAAAAAAAGGAAATTTCCAAGGCCTTAATAAAATTATTTTAGAAGAAGCTCTCAGATAAAAAGATAAAAATCAACCAAAGAAATAGCATTTTTTTTTTTTTTTTTTGCTTCAAATAACTTACCTGTAAGGGAGAATATGTGGATGTTTATACGTCATTATGCAATCCAGGGTTATTTTTTGTACCATCTGATCTTGGTGGAGCAACAACTAAGGATGATATTTCATAGAATAAATCAATGAAGTCTCATACATGCATACCATGGGATAGTAATTTATCTGTGTTAATCTATAAAATTAGGTTTCTTAGAATTCAAATTTTTAGATGTGGTTTAATGCTGATTCCTGACAAAAGCCTAACATTTCCCTGAGGTTAAACAAGGATGAAGAGAATATGAGCAAAGAACAAAATAAAAACAAAACTCTAACATCTGCTTCCCATACACCAGACCTTTGGGTTTGTCAGTCTTTTGGCCAAGACCAATTTCCTACACAATCGGGATTTACACCAAATGAGCTGGTCCTGTGCGAGCAAAAGCTCTTGATAAAACTGTGAAGGTAACGGCTGTCAGTATAAGGCCAGGAGAGACCTGCTCTGAGGCCACTCTGATCATCCAGTTCAGATCTTGGATTCCTGTGGTCACCTGAGACTTGAGCTCTGGCTTCACAAACAAATTAGATCCGAATTATGGGCAGATACAGATAAGTTCTGCTGAAATGCCAAAATGAAATGTTTCATCTAAAAAACATCCAAACAGAGGAAGAAAATCTTGTTTCCCAGATGGCTGAGAATGACATCCAATTCTTACTCGGCTTCTGACATTAAAAGTTTTTCTTCAATCTTTCCTGGAATTTAGGGTCATATATTGTGGCTGTTAACAGACCATTCTGCCAACTACCTGCATCCACTCAACATAAAAGATCCTGAAATTCTAGCCCTCCATCAGCCTAACTCACCAAAAAGTGAAAAGTAGCCAACTGCTGTTGGCACAACCTGCACTCCCTTCTAAAAGCTACCTCCCATGATATAATTATGTTATTACAGCTCGTCAATGTTTGGTCACTAAAAATGCTTTTAAAATCAACTAAATTAGTACTGTCTAAACTGTTTCTCAAGATATAGAAAATGTCTATTATTTAAAAAATATATATATTTAAAAATGTTATAAATATATATATAACAAGTATATATATATTTTAAAATACTATAAAAGATATCATAAAAAATATTAGAATGCAGACAGGGCTCTATTCAACAATTATTGAAAACCTAAAAGTTATTTTGGCAAAGAAAATGGAAAAGAATAGTTTACAAATAATTGCAGAGGCAAGACTTTATTTTACCTACCTGAAGATAGAGCTCATATAATTTGGATTCCAGATACAAGGCCCGTGGATTCGAAAACTTAGAGAAAACTTGCAAATGAGCGATTAATTGCCTTAAAAAAAAAGAGAGAGAGAGACAGGGTACTACAAAATTAAAGAACAGAGATTATTTTCTTTAAAAAAGGCGAAAGATTTATGCGATCTGAAGAGAAACCAGAGCATGATTATTTTCTTTAGATGAAGTACTCACCAATTTTAGTTTCTCTGACAATTATTCCAAAAACCTTGTCTAGGTCACAGTACCCACTTATGTAATGAAACACCAATCAAGGTGCTGCGATGAAAGTATTTTGTAGATGTTAACATCTATAATAAACGAACTTTGATAAGAGATTACCCTCAATAATGTGATGGGCCTCATCCAATCAGTTGAAGGCCTTAACAAAAACAGGTATTTCCCAAAGAAGGAGTTTTATTACAAGACTAGAACAGAAATCTTACCCTCCAGATTTCAGACTCAAGACTACAGCATCAAGTCCTGCCTGAGTTTCCAGCTTGCTATTCTGCCCTGAAAATTCTGGGCTCGCTGACTCCTGCTACTAGGTGAGCCAATTCCTTAAAACACATCTCTTTATCCATCCATACATACATACATGCATACATACATACGTACATACATACATAAGCATGCATGCATCTCCATTCCATTGGCTCAGTTTCTCTAAAGAGCCCTGACTGATGCAATGTCCATTGTAATTACTTATCACTGGGTGCTTGCAGTTTAACAGATAAACTTCTAAATGATCCTACTGACACATGCACTCCTCTCCCAACATTTATGAATTATTTTTTATGTACCATTTAGCCTTAAAGAGCCAAAGACAACAGGAACTAATCTGCACGTCCTAATTAAATACTTGCCAGTGAGGGGTGTGTTCCACAAAGGATTATTAACTTGGACTATGAATATACTGAGATGGCACCAAGAACATGATTTTTAATCATGGTGTATATCAGCAATTGCCTAGGTCTGGCAACAGGGGACAGAAAAATTAAGACATGGACCTTATCCTATATGAGTTTCTGATTTTCATGGAAGATATATAAAAAATTAACTAATAATTCAAGGCAAGGAGTAAGCCCCATGATGGAGGTATAAGTGGTTATTATGAAAGATTGAAGGAAGGTGAAATAACTTGTAGGTTAAAGGACAAGAAGAGCCTCAGTAAGGGACCTGTGTTTTGAAGCACGAACAGTTTCATTTGGCAGAAATAAGGCAGGGACACAGTAAAAAGAGGGAAGGCTCAGGTGAGAAAGGAAGAGATTTGACTGGTAACTTACTCATTTGTTCACCAAACTAGTAGGACTAATATTTTGCTGGCTAATATGCTGAAGGACATAAAGAAGAAAACAGCAACATGTCTTACAAAAAAGTGTGGGGAACAGACCATTCACAGCTGTGAGAAGGCAGAAGCAGAGAAGGAACTTTAGTTGGACGAAACTTGGCCTTGACCTTCCTTCTTCTGTCTTACTCTCCATTTCCATAAGTTGGTGAGCCCTTCCCTGCCCTAGCTGCTGGTGAACTTTCGTCTTTCAGCTTCAAAGGTGCCTTATACTTTGTACAAGTCTTCTTCCTTTTATGGTAGAACTAGAGGCCCAGTGCACAAAATTCATGCAGGGAAGGGAGGTGTCCCTCAGCCCAGCCTGCACCTTCTCCAATCTGGGATCCCTCGGGGGATGTCTGACTGCTGGTTTAGGCCCGATCCCACTAAACTGGCAGTCGGACATCCCTCTCACAATCGGGACTGCCGGCTCCCAAACGCCTGCTTGCCTGATTGCCCCTAATCACTTCTGCCTGCCAGCCTGATCACCCCCTAAACACACCCTGCCAGCCTGATCGATGCCTAACTGCTCTCCTGCAGGCCCGATTGCCCTCAACTGCCCTCCCCTGCCGACCATCTTGTAGCAGCCATCTTTGACCACATGGGGGCGGCCATCTTGCGAGGGTGTGATTGTCAATTTGCATATTACTTGTTTATTATACAGGATTAAGTCATTTTTTACTGTGCTCCCATAACTCCTTTAACACGTTAAGCCCCATGTCAGTCACTGGTAACTGACACTATACTTTCCATCTGGAAGACAAAACAGGCTGGGCGCTTAACTTGTTAAACGTATTTCCCCTATAAAAATATTTCACTAGGCATTTGACCTTGCTTTCTGCAACGCAGAGGCTAAGTACTGTCCATATCTGCAGCCCAGCACTTAGAAAAAGGCACTCAACACAGTTGATGAATGGGCAAACTAGTAAATGGCTCATGGGAGAAATTCAACAAATAGATGTAGGTTGAGATCTAAAGTGTTAAAATAACACAATGGCACCAAATCCAGTGGGTCTCTGACACCACAATTCAGATGATTTTCAAGTTGCTGGAGTAACTTCTACAAGCATGATCACGTCTTACTTTTCTAAGGTTTCTAACAATTTAGGTAAATGAGTTACCCAGAGAATAAGAGATAATATAACAGCATGAAGAAAAGGTAACCAGAAGGAGACAAGTCAAAAGGCAACGCAAAAGTGCTGACACGCTCATTTATAAGAGGACAGATGTTCCATTACTCGCTTCCCTAGCACACAAACACGATGCCCTGGCGCTATGAAAAGGCAACAACACAGGTCAAAGACCATTTAACAGCTCTGGGCCCCAGCAATATCATGCATAGAAAAAGCTATCATTAAATGATTCCAACTCTAATACTGTGGCTAAACAAGAACGAAATAAAAAGCAAACAACCAACATGCATGGAAGATGAGAGTTTCTTTGGGCTCTAAAAAATAAATTAATAAATTAATTAATTAATTAATTAAAAAATAAACCCAGGGAGATACAGCACTTATGTAAAATGTATATAGTTATCTGAGCAGGTGATCTCGTCCAAGGCCATTTCCCATCAAGGCCCTGAGACTTACCCCCATTCCTCCGAGAACCGTGGGCATGTGAAGTAACAGCAATGTTGCACTTACTTGGTTGCAGCTCTTCTTGTTGTTTTCTTCTGTGAGGGTTCATCTTGGGGCACGTCCTCTTCCACCAACTCTTCGTCGTCCCCAGCAGCAGGTTCTTCTGTTTCCTCCGCTGCCACTCCTTTGCTTTTTCTTCTCAGATCCTGGGTTGGAGCGACCTGCAGATCTGCTGGGTAATACTCGTTGCTGCAGTGGAAAGAGTAACACAGGCAGATAAAGCTGAAATGTCCTAATTCTGTTTGTGACAGACGTACATCCACAGTTCACCGAATCACATGTGGGAGAGACATCAGAGGCACTTAGTCAGAGCTCTTCTAAAACATTATTCTGTTGTAGTCCAACCCTTGGAAGGACCCTACTTCACAAGTCAATCACTAACTGCGGGAGACAGCCCATCGTTACACTGTTGAAGATATTTGAAATGTCTACTTCGGACCGAGCTGAAATCAGTCTCCCTGTCTCTGAAAACACACCCAGGACAGGCAGGAATCAGGGTGAATTACAGTAAATATAGGGGTGGGTAAAAGTAGGTTTATAGTTGTGAGTACATGAACAGTTTATGCTTGTGCCATTATTTATTATTATATTATTTATTTGTATCACACCTATAAACCTACTTTTGCCAATTGCTGAATTGAAAGTACAGCATTAAGACCATGTTGGTCACTTTCAAACCAGATGCATTCTACCTTGTAGAGGGCTGTAACAAAATTCAGTCCTCTAGATATGGGGACTGACAAAACAGATGGAACTATCAACAGCATAGCTTTTGGGGGCAGTCACAGACTCAACTGAATGTCCAGGCAATAAAAACCAGTAGGTCTTTATGTCCATCTCCTCTAAACTAAGCTTGTGCAGTTGGCATTCACATTTGTTCTTAATGAAATCCATCCTTTAATTTTGGTCCATTGTTGCAGGTAACTAATATCTTGAAGGCTGTCGCTGTCATTCACTTCATTTGTTTTGTGTCACTTTAACTCATCCATCCAACAATTATTGTGTGTGTGTGTGTTTGTCTCTTTTGTGCATGGCTCTAAGCTACAGATAAAAGGGAATTGATCAGGTCTGAAAATCAAAAATACACGGATATAATAGCATGTTTTAGGATATTACCGTACAACACACCTAGAGGAAACAACGGGTTAATACACTAGACAACAACTGGAGGGCTGAGATGCTACCATATCCAACTTTGTATTCTCACCTAGCAATATCTAGTAATTAATAAATTTAAAAAAAATGAACAAATTAAATGAGTAAAGTTGCTCTGTCAGTTATAAAATGATTTAATAACATCCGAATTATACTCTCAACATTCAATTAACCACATGACATATCTTTAACCTTTATCACATGCACAGCACACTCCCTCATTTATTAAATTTAAGATAATTCACACAAAGCACTTACATAGCAAGTATTCATTAAGTGTCACTGTCACCTATTACAAGGATGTTTTTGCCAGTGTTAGTCATTTGTTCTTAATTCTTGATATGATTCTTCTCAGAGAATGTTTACAAGGGATTCACAAACTGGCTCTAATATCAAATTATTTGACACAGATTTAGGAAGGTAAATTTCTAGCCAAAAATGAAAATAAAAAGGCAATAGACTTCATTGTCAGGATTAAAGGTGACATTTGGGTTTTCCATTAGTTTGTATCATCTATAAAAGTATTATTTATAGGTAATAGGTGTCAACTAGTCTTAATTTAAACATTTAAAAAAACTGTATATTTTTTTATCTCTGTCTTCTTAACCTCAAAGATCCACTTCCTATTATAGGCTCCTTTCTCTAGCCCCATTTCACAGCATCTTGTACTATTAGAGCAGTGATGGCGAACCTATGACACGCGTGTCAGAGGTGACACACGAACTCATTTTTTTGGTTAATTTTTCTTTGTTAAATGGCATTTAAATATATAAAATAAATATCAAAAATATAAATCTTTGTTTTACTATGGTTGCAAATATCAAAAAATTTCTATATGTGACACGGCACCAGAGTTAAGTTAGGGTTTCTCAAAATGCTGACACGCCAAGCTCAAAAGGTTCGCCATCACTGTATTAGAGGAAGGTCTTTATTCTTAGGCTAAGGGGTAATCTATTTCTTCAATGAGGGAAAAACTTAAATTAACATGGAAGGAAATTCATATCCTACTAACACCATTAATACAGCTTGCAAATGCAGAGCCCTTTGCAATTCATGAATCACTAAAAAACATTATTTTATATGATCTTCAAAACAAGGCAAGAAAGTTAAATACCACTGTCCTCATTCTATAAATAAATTAAAGACTAAAGAGTTATGTGAAAAAGAGAAAATCATTACTCTTCTACCAGCCCATCTACTGACCTGCCCGCATCTTGCTTGTAACCTTTGCCAGATGAATTATTCATGGAAACCTTTTCACTTATGCAAGGGATCCAGTTCCTCTTACTATTCAAGGACATGGCTTTAGCAATTGTATCCCCTCCTGCATGTGAGTTTACTCCTCTCTTTTGGTCTTTCCCAGCAGCATTACATGCATACACGCTGCTTAAACCTTAAACAGCAACACAACAGCAGCTCCCTCTCTGCTCCCACATCTCCTTCCACCTATATCTGCTTTTTTTTTTTTATAAGAACTGTTCATATTTGTTATTTTCATTTTTGTTTTCCATTCTCTCTTAAACCCATTTAAATCAGGCTTTCAGCCCTACCAGATTAGCTCAAACAACTCATGTTAAGGTTCTTCCAAAGCCAATGGTCAGTTCTTATTCTTCATCGGACTGATGTCTCAGACACTTCTGATTCCACTGATCACTCCCTTCTTGAAATCTTGGTTCTTCTTTTACCAGTCTTTCTTGGCCTCCTTTGTTGGTTCCTTATCTCCTAATCTCTAAATATTGCTGTCAGTCCTTGGAAATCTTTCTCTAGATTTACATGCCCACATGTGATTGAATTCCCTGACCATAATTTAAAAAAACAAACAAACCCACGTATACACCGATGAGTCTCAAACTTACCTCTTCACCAAACCTTTCCCTTAAACTTTAAATTCCAAATTCAAGTACCTACCTGACATCTCTATTTAGATGTCTATTCAGTATCCCAAACTAAAAATGAACTCCTGATCTTCCCACAAATCTGCAAGCTTCTGCATTTCTCCCAATCTCAGTCAATTGGTGACTCTCTTCTTCCAGCTGCTCAGGCCAAACCCTCAGAGACATCCTTGATTCCTCCCCTTCCTCCTTCCTACACTGGCCCTCAACCTTCCCCACCCCCATCCCCATTAGGACACATCTGATTTGTTGGCAAATCCCAAAGGCTAATCTAGTTGCAATTATTGAAAATATCTTATTGAACTGAAATCCTTCAAAACATTCAGAGTTCAACTACCTCTCATTATCTGCACTACTGTAACACTGGTCAAGTCTCCCATCATATTCTCTTCCTAACTCTTGACTCTCTCTACTCTCACTACTGGTATCCTAGTCTATTCTCAACATAGCAGCCAGAAAACTCCTTAGAAAAACTGAAGTCATGTCATCCTTATTTAAACCTTCCAATGTCTTCCCACTTCACTGACAATAAAAACCAAAGTCCTTACTATCACTTAAAGTTCCTACACAACTTGGTCTCCTGTTAACTTTTTGTCTTCATCTCCAACTACTTTCTCCTGGGATCACTGCTGTAGCCTCTCAGACTTCCTTGTTGTTCCTTGAACAAGCCTGACATGTTGTGGTTCACAGCCTGTTTAACTTAACCCTATAGCATTTTCCCATGTAATGAAATAGTGTTAGAAAACATACATGTACTGTGCTATACACATTCCTTATCTTTAGTTTTAAAGCAATCTTACTCTCACACAGCTTATCTAGTCAAAATAGAACAATGCTTCAGAACGTTCTTATTATTTTTTGAGAGTACATTCCTCAGCATCATGGGAAACATTCAAGAAGTTCAAAGCAGAGTGGCTGGGGTTGAGTTACTGAAAAATATTTTTAAGCTGCAGGCAGACAATAAAATAATGAACACACAGGGCAAGAAATAACAAGCTCTTTGTGCACTGAACTAACTCAATATGGCCTTAAAAAAAAAATTCTCACCAGAGTACATGCTTAGAGAGAGGAAATGAGAGGGAGGAAGAGAGAAACATTGATTGTCACTCTCCGAAAGAGCCCCGACCTGGGATCGAACCACAACCCGAGCAGGTGCCCTGACCAGGAATTGAACCAGCAACCTTTTGGTGTACAGGACGATGCTCAACCAACTGTGCCACTCCGTCCGGTCTTGATAAGGCCTTTTTATTTTGTAACCTGGAATATTTTATTAACACCATTTGTGGGCTGGTTAAATTCATGTAAAGTTAAGTGGTGAACTAAACTAGGTTAGTTGTTAGAGCCAGTGCTTTATAGATGTGCCAATGATGTGCAAACATGACAGGCATAACAATAACTTGGCCAATTTGGGAGCTGAATACTTTGTACCTTTTCTTCTAGGTACTGAGGACACGCTACTAGGAACATATTCCAAGAAGAGAACACTTACTTGATGAATCTCAAGAAAAGCGGGGAAAGCTCCCTGGACCGTGGCTCTACCCTTTCTGGGAATTTTGCCAGAGCTCGCCACAGCAGGGATCAGAAATTGGTATGGTCCAGTCTTTCCTGACAGTTGGTTTTCAATTCTAACTGCTCAAGATAAAGCGCTCCAACATCTCCGTCTTGAGTCTGCTCCCAACTTTCATCTCCTATGAACTTCTCCTCATCTCTTATATCATTTTGCAGTTCTTTCTCTGAAAGGAAAAAAAGTCATCAGTACCACCAGAGAAATGTCAGCATTTGTCCTTTGTGTCCCTCAGGTCAGGGCATTCCTTTCTCTAGCAATATAAGGAAACAATAAACCACATCCAAAGGTTATTGAAGATAACACACTTCTCATTTCTGTTTCCCAACTTCATGTGCAATGAAGCAGTAAAAATGAAAGTTAAGCAACCGCTTTTCTTCCCAGTTCCACCGGATGCCTCTTTACATACCAGCATGGGTAGCTGCTTTTTCTAGATGTTCATAGTAGACGTTCCAAAATTTCTTATTTTCCATTTCATGTGCATGAGAGCTAAAGAAAAGAAGATCACAAGACAAAAGATGTGATATGATCTTTATTCTGAGGTATCTCACTGGAAAAAGAGTGAAAGGAAAGGACATAACTAAAATGTAGGGATATAAATGACTTTTGTATTTTTCTATATTCTTCAAAATGCTTGCATGGACCACAGATCATTTTTATAGTCATAAAGTACTAAATAGTATTTTTAATAACTTAAGTGATACCCATAAGAAGGCTATTTTTAAAGGCACAATAATGGGCAGGGGTATGAGGTATGGCCTATTAAGGGAAGGAGTGGCCTCTATTTAGAGAAAGTCCTTTTTTTAAAAATTAAGTTTGGCTCAATGATTATATGTAAATAAAATCATGCAATTATATAATACTTTGTACTGAAAAAATTCAACAATACAGCTGTATCAAGTAAAAGGAGAAAGTCCTCTAAAGTTATTTCAATGTACAAAGAAATATACATATAACATTTGAACTGTTGAAAAACTTGGCATCAGAGAGAATAATTCATGTTTGTTTTTTCTTCACCTTATCCCACAAAGGATTTATGAGAGCGATAAATCCTTTCAATCATTTAAATCACACCTAGGAATCTAATACTGGCTCCATCATTCTGCAGTAGTTAAAAGGTTATAGCTTCATCCATTTAACTCATGCTTACCTTATGAGTTCAATAACAGGATCCCAAAGAGCACTGAAGTTAACATACAACATGCCTAATAAATAACGAAGCGGCACCTGCAATTACAGACTCATTTAGTAAGTGGGTAACGAACTACGATAAAACAGCACCGAGATGCAAATATCCCAACTCAGATATCCAAAGGTTTGCAAAGGAGCTCATGCTTTAGAAAAGTTGTAGGTACCAATCTGCAAGTCAGTGGCAATAATTTTCCAACTCTCCCCAAAATGTTACTTGTTATTTAACACAGAAGAATCACTAAAGCAAACCTAGTACTCAAACTCACTCCAGATGTTCATGCTGAAAGGAGATATTTAAATGCTAATTCCCTCCTAACAAACACTGCCAGCTCCATCACCTCATTAGACGAAACTTGAACAGACATCAGTAAAGTACAGATGGTGAAGAACCCAAGAAGTCTGCTGGGTATGGCAGCTGTGGCTTCACAAGCAGATGTCTGAGTTCTCAAAACTATGCCATTAAAGGAGTCCATTCAGAAGGTCTAGTTTTCTCAGTCAGCTTTGGCAGTGAGTGACAGTCATGACCAGAATCCCATATGCTAGGGAGGCATCATGTAGAATGGCAGTTCTAGTACTATTTGGGGGTGGGTGCCTGTAGCTGGTTTAGCAGCAGAACATAACACAGGACACTAATATATAAATGAGAGCAGGAACAGACTGCTCTGATTGAAAGGGGAATGCCTCCACTTGGCTTCCCTCCCAAAGGGATATGTGATGTATCTGCAAGGGTCATGGACAGAAAATGCCGGATACAAAAGGTAGAGGCTGACTTCGTGGGGCAGCAAACAAGTCTGGAGAAGAAATCAGGCTTTAAACTTGACCCTGCATCCTCTGTTGTCAGTACTTTCCTTCATAAAGGACACATCTTCAGAAGGGGGACAGGAAATTAGTTCCACTGTTGAAATGACTGACAGAGCCACCTAACGCAAAGCATCTAAGCAGTGGTCCTCAAACTTCCTAAGGCCGCGACCCTTTAATACAGTTCCTCATGTTGTGGTGACCCCCAACCATAAAATTATTTTCGTTGCTACTTCATAACTGTAATTTTGCTACTGTTATGAATCGTAATGTAAATATCTGATATGCAGGATGTATTTTCATTGTTCGTGACCCACAGGTTGAGAACCACTGATAAGGGAACTGAGGATTTATCCAGTTACAAAAACTTTTTTGGGGTAACTCCTTGGTATGTTTCTCTTTTCCAAAGCCAGCCAAACAGATCTAAAAGCATAAGTAGAATATTTTTTCTAAAAGGTGGTGTTTTATACCTCCTGTAACGGCCCGTCAGGGACTGCGGTCTGCACCACATCATGTCTTAGCTTCCTCAAGTGGAGGAGCTTCTCTCTGTAATCGTTCACAGTCGCGGGGACGAGTTCTGCCTGGCGCAGCACAGCGAAGGCGGACTGCCGCTCCGAGAGCCCGTCATCCTGAGCAGCCGGGAAAACAGGGAGGCATGTCAGCTGTGATTTTCCGAGAAAGCATTAAATGTGACCAAAGGTCTAAAAAGTAAAAACTGTGATGTTAATGTTTTAAGTTAAATAAGCAACACTTTTGGCGAGTGAGGTAAATGATTCGTTTTTCCTCACACCGTTTACTTTCTAGTAGATAACATAGGTTTAGTATCTAGCACAGAAATGATAAGGAGAAGAGGAAAGTAATTCTCAAAATGACTCAAACTGACTGGTAACATTTGTTAAAAAACAAAGTATATGTATTTTCACTAAATAATTCTCTCTCTAATAGAAGTAATTTTTACCTCAAGAAGTAATAATTTTCATTACGGAAATATTTAGCTATACAAAACTATCTGTGTAAGGATGCTCCCTGCAATATTACTGGATATCCTGAAAAACTGTGAGCAACTCACCGAACCATTCGCCAACAGGGAATTGGTTAAATAGGATATTTTAAACTGTGGGCTGCTACTCAAACCTCAAAAGAAATGAGGTAGGATGAGAGGCACTGATATGGAAAACCTTCACGACACCATTAGTTTAAATTGTGTGTGTGCATACAAAAGTCTGAAACAATATGCACCAATTAACTGTGGAGTTTCAGTGGTGGCCTTGTTGGCTCAGCAGGAGCAAGGATTACAAAAAATTTTCAATTTTTGGTAGATATTTACATAGTGTTTGAATTTCCTATGAAATCACAACCCTCTATCATAAAAGCCTAATATGCCAAGTGTCCAAAGGTTCATTCGATATTCGACCAGTCGCCATGATGCCACTGACCACCAAGGGGCAGATGCTCTGACTGGGTAGGTTAGCTTGCTGCTGGGGTCGGGCCAGTAAGAACTGGGTGAGAAAGGCTGGACACACCCTGGAGCCCTCCTGCAGTCCATCCCCGGCCCTGATTGTGCACCGGTGGGGTCCCTCACCCTAGCCTGCACCCTCTTGCAATCCAGGACCCGTCGGGGATGTCTGCGTTAGTGAGTTTTATCTCTGAATCTGTGCACCAGGCCTCTCGTTTGGGAAATAAAAATATATATCAAGTTACATTTTTAAAAAGTTATCCAAATCAAACAGTTAAAATACCTCCATTAGTTCCGGAAGTCGAACCTCAAAGTGGTTTAGGATCCTTATTGTCAAAAGCCGAATCTAGAAAAAGGCATGTTTCAAAGTCCAAAGTTTAAACATATGAATAAACTATTTAATAGTCAGTGAGATCTAAATTTTATAGAATTATGAAAAATATACCACTTGCCAGCGTAATACAAGTTTATTCTATCTCTTATTTCATGTTCAACACCAATACACACCTTATTCAAATGGAGCACTTAATGACCAGACTAGATGGGAAGGAAAGGTTGCACATAAAACCATGTTGTTTCTTTGAACTGTGACACTACAGGTATTTCCGTAAATAAATGCAATGAATCTTATGAAGTTTACAATTCCATTGACATTAGTGAGTTTTATCTGTGAATAATGTATTCGGGTATTTCTATACATCTCAATGAGCAGCGAAATCACCCAGAGGGCTTTAAAGCCCCCACTGGATCAGAGCTGGGAGTGGGATCCAGAATTTACATTTTTATTAAGCTCCCCAATTAGAACTGCTGCAAACAGTTTGTAGGTCAGTGTTCAGGAATCACTGCTTTAAACAGAAATCACCCCACAGCAGCACTTTCTGACTAAGGAGCTGTGACAACCACTGGCAATACATACAAACAAAAAATGAGAGATGGGAACACGCGCCGTGACAATGTTACCTTGGATATACCAGTTGAAATGTTTGCTTGTAACTTGGGAAATAATTCCATTAAAGCTTCTTCAGAAAGTGGCCCCTTGCAGCCACATAAGGATAATCTCTGATAATAGAGATCAGCCAACAGCAACACAGATGGCTCCAAAGGAAACATTCTGCAACAAGACGTTTATTAGACCCAAACTGGCCTCTATACCCGAGCATTCAGACTATAACAGAAACCATGGAAAATTATCACTGGTGAAGGAAACGTAGAAAACAACAGGTAAAAGTTTTACGTGGACATTAGCATCACTTTAGAGATGAATTTGAGGCTAGTGACCGTGAATGACGTGCTCAAGGACACATAGCTAGTTGGAGATAGAGGCGGGATTATGCTGTCTTGGCAATCTATATAGTTGTTAGTAACAATGACACTGAGCTAATGAGGAAGCAGTACAGAGGAGGGGTCCCGCACACAGACTTTGGGGTGGGGCAGCCCATCATCCATCAACATATAACCCTGGACAAGCCGCTTAACCTCTACGTGCCGCCCTCCTTTAACAAATATTTACTGAGTGTCTGTTATGTGCTAGGGGCTTTTCTAGACACTGGATATTGCAGTACACAATAGGCTGAGTCCCTATCCTCCTGGAGCTTGTATTCCAATAGGGGAAGGTAGCGGTAAACAAATGAACTGTCAGTATGAGAGCGATGAGTGTGGTGGAGAAAAGTCCATCAGGGGAAGGAGGCTAGACCCAGAGCCTGGGTTGTAGGGGTAGGGGGGAGAGGGCGAGGGATGAGGAGGAGTGCTATTTGATATGGGGCGTGGTAAATGGCAAATGTAAAGAGATCCTAACTGGTTTCTTTATTCCCCTTCGGTCTCTTCTCAGTACAGCAGCCAGGATGATTAGGCCTAAGTCATCCCCCTGCCCCAAATCCTTCTCTGTCCCCTTTCAGAGTACAAGTCAGGGCCTACAAAGGCCAAAGGTCATACACTGCCTGCCACCCCCACCTGTATGTCCTCTTGTGCTACTATCCATGCCTTGCTCTCCTCAGCCACAACAGTTCCTTGCTGCTCAAGCCAGCACACTCTCCCCACCTCCTGCCATGGGTACACAAATCCCCCCAGGCCTGGAAGAGAGAGTGCCCGAGAGCCCCAACATCCTCGTGGCTTACTCCCTCGCCACTTCCGGGCTTCTGCTCAGATGTCTCCTTCTTGGTGAGGCCTTCACTACTTAAAACTGCTGTTGTCCCCAACCTCCAGACTCCCCGTCGTCTGCCTCTGCTTTAATTTTCTCACCACCACCTAACATGCTAGTTATTTTACTTACTTATTTTGTTTACTGTCTCTTTGTGTTAGCATGTTAGTTCCCTGAAGGCAGGAAATTTAGTGATTCTTTCACTACGTCTTCCAGTACCCAGAATAGGGGGCTGGTGCATGAGAAAAGGCGAATGAATATTCATGAGTAAATCTGTTTTTAAAAAGCACGGGAATAAAATGTTCTGGACTCCAGAAACAGAAACAAACTAGTTTACCAGGTTTCCAGAAGGCCTTTTTTAAAAAAGGAGGCTAAATCCAGTAATGAAGGGCTAATGGCCCGGTGCTACCACCCAAACCAGAGCTGGCTGTATATAGTATAAAGACCACAGGAAAGTTTTCTGAGATGCTGATTGTGTCAAGGTGAGAGAACATTAAAGGCGTAGGAATGTGTGTGTAGGAATCACTCAACAAGTTACAAAAGGTCATCATTGTGCAATGTTATGGTTGGGAGTAATCAGCATGAAATACCCTTTACTAATTCTACATTAATTCACACACAGCAAAACACCCCTTTACCAAGATGAACCTGCATATAAAGACTCTCAAGAATTGTATTTACTTTAGTTGGAGGATTTAAATCAATTATGAATCTCCAATGTGAATACAGCTCAGGTATAGAATGTCCAAGATTTCACAAACACAGAAGCTTTTGTAGTTTACTTGTTATTAAGGTAAATGGAGAACGTGTTTACTCACAATACTAAATTCTTCACACGTTCCACGGGAACCAAATGAAGAAGCTCAGAAGATTCTTCCAAACTCAGCAGAGTATTTACAGCTTGACAAAGAACAAACAAGTTTCCTAAACACAGAAAAACAGGAGAAGCCACAGTACTTATTTCTTTGACACAGTAACTACCAGACATCTCATTTATCTGACACATGCTATTTATACGAAATTAAGTTAAATTTGAGCCTTCTAAAGAATAACCTGTCAAATGTCAGAATTTAACAGAAAAGAACTAAAAGAGAAGGCTCCAAGTTATATGGACCTTTAGAGAAAAATATATTCAGAATTGGAGAATAAAAATGTATGTTCCATTAACTGAGATGAGGACGAAATTCAATGGTTCCACCGACTGGCATTATCAAAATTAGAACTTAGGAGGAGAGCAGACTTGGACTTTTCAAAAGCTAAGACTATCTTTATATAAAGCTCATGTAGATTTTATGTCTCCAATTTATAAGGAGTCACATATCCAATGACTACTATCCATAATCCACTTAATTAATATTAATTATATATTCATTCAATCCTTGACCAGATGTTGGCAAGCTATGGCCAGCAAGTCAAATCTTGTAGGTAGTGTGTTTTTATATGGCTGGCAAGATAAGAATAATTATTTACATTTTTAAAGTTGTTGTATTTTTTGTTTTGTTTTTTAACAAAAACCAAATAGAATATACCACAAATCTGAATGCAGTCCACAAAACCTAACGTATTTACTAACTAGTCCTCACATAAACATTTTACCAAGCCCTAATCTAGACTTGAGAACAGTGCTGCCCAACAGAACTTCCTGCAATGGTAGGAATGTTCTTACTTGGGACAAGAAGCAGCCACAGTCAAATATGGTAGCCAGTTGTCATGTGTGACCGAGCACTGGAAGTGTGGGGAGCTACCTTATTCTCCAATATGTCTGCTTAGTTTCTAACACAGAATATAGCACATTAATAGTTGAATGAATGAATGAATGACTACTGTTAGAAAAAAAATACTGTGCTAGAATTAAACAAAATCCCTATGCTGTTCTCAGGCTAGTGAGGGAAGACATACAAATACACCACAGGGAATGGGGTTTGGGGTAGCGTGGCCACATTCCACCTGGAAGAGCCATGAGGGCCTTTCTAGAGGTGTTGTGCTTGAGCTGAGTTTTGAAAGATAAATGAGAATTCACTAAATGGCAAAGACCTAGAGAGAACTCCAGGAAGGAGGGCATGTCCAAGGGCAGCCAGAGAGTTGGAAAAGGAAGTGCGTTCCTAGGATCAGCAAACGCCTGGAGCAGGTGTATACCAGGGGAAGGTTGGGCCTGGAAGACAAGGAACAAGACGCAGGCTGGGTAGTAGGGGTTTCTTATTACCTTGACCTTTAGATTCAGCTTATGTTTAAACTGCCCTGATCTGGTCACCAGGTTAAGAAGTACAAGTGCAACACCTCCTGCTTGCCCTCCTTTTTCCGTATTTACCACATGAGAGGTTTTTCCAGAACACAATGTAGCACTATTCTCTGGCATTCTGTGACTTTATAAATGACTCAGGGTGTGTCAGAAAAGAAAGACAGGAATTGCTACTGACCTTTCCCAAAGCTCCCTCTGTCAACCGTCATGAAGAGTGACTCTATGCAGCATGTGACTAGTGGTATCACCTTCTCTTTCTCAAGGGGTCTAGCCAAGAAATGGGAAGAAAAAGGGAAAAGTTCACACTGACTTTTTCATGAAACAGCTGGGAATGGCTAATAAAGGTTTTAATCAGCATGCTAAGTATCTCTTTCAAAATAAAACATGGTGTATTTTCTCACCTAATATGAGGTAACACGACAAGGGCTGCCCAAGAACATGAGAGGAAAGTAGTATCGTTATTTGGAGGTAACTGAATTATAGACAGAAGGTGGTCCAATACTGGGATCTGTTCCTTCCCTCCCTTGGATCTGGTCTTCCTCAGCCTCACATAGGATCTGAAAGAAGAAGAGATAAACAGGAATGTAATCGCTCTTGCCTTAAGAAGCTGGAAATAGAATTGGGCTCCTTTCCATGTGTGGAGCATTTGGGGAGAGGAGAGAACTGGTGGTGATGGGTGAATATACACAACAAACAAATGTGTATCGCTTACTGATTTTAGCGAAAGGCTTTTCAACCAAACTGGTTCTATTTTCTTCTATTTTCCATTTTAATTTGCTTCATAACTTAAAGGAAGTCTTTTCCAGTTTTAAGTACTATTCTGAATTTTGTGCTGATGCACATATTTTTAAGAACTGGAAAGGTAAGTTTATTGGAATAAACTGACTTCCACCATCCTCTTTCCTTTTTGGTATGTTTACTACAGTTGCCCTCTCTACCCCAACTTACTTGCAGTTTCGCTAGAAAAGTCCATAAATAAACAATTCATACATTTTAAATAGGGTTCTGTTCCCAGGAGTGTGATGGAGTCTCCCACTATCCCGCCACACCCAGGGTGTGACTCATCCCTTTGTCCAGCTTCTCCACACTGCAACCTGCCTGTTAGTCTCTATCAGATATCGCCATGCTTGTGTTTGCTGACCCTTATTTTATTTAATAATGGCCCCAAAGCACAGGGATAGTGATGCTAGCAACTTTGATATGTCAAAGACTTCCTGTAAGTGAGAAAAATGAGTGTTGCATGTATGTAAAGAAAAAATATAGTATATATAGGGTTTGGTACTATCCAAGATTTCAGGCATCCATTGGGGACTTGGAACAATGTATCCTTTGCAGATAACGGAGGGCCACTATACTTCACAAATGTAGAACATGTAGAAAGACACTGCAAAGTTCTTGTAGTGAATCTGACAAATGTCACTAAAATGATTATGATTAGAAGTAATTTTCTCTGCTGCTTTAATGTGATAAATGGTCACTCAACGATGTTTTCTGATATGACATTCAGTTTTTAGTATCTACTACTTGGCCATTCTTGTTAGCCTCTTTTTATTTTTGCCAATGAACTATACCTTACTCCTCTTTAAGACAAAAATCTAATCAAAAGAAAAAGCATAAAAACATGTAAAATGATATTTTTATAATTTATCCACCATGTCCAGTTTGCTTAGCTTTTCGACAGAAGTAGAATATCAGGCTTTTATTCCTTATCATTAAAATTAACCAAAAAGTTGCATTCCCTTTTGTGTCATACTTTTCAGGATACTGAATGTTTGGAAATTCTGATAATTTCATTGGCAATTTCTAAAAATCACTACCTCTTGATATAGAGTCTGTCAAGTACTAACCATGACTGAACAAACTGCAAAAACCTTACAAGTAGCTCTTTAGTTGCATCTTTAGTTGCCATGTCATTCCCTTGTTTTGTCACACCTGCCAATGAGCTCCTCCAATACAAGCCACACCCCTTACCTCACTCTGTGAAGTCCTAAGTGATCTGACCTTCGCCCATTTCTCACTAGCTCACTCCACTCTTCTAGCTCAGTGCCCCCTACCCACAAAGGCTGGCTTTTTGTTCCTCACACACACTGGGCCCATTCTTGTCCCAGCCACTCTTCCCTCTGCCTAGAAAGCCTTCCTTGGCCAGGCTGGCTCCTCCCATCGTTACAATGGACCCAAAAGTCCCCTCCCTAGAGGAAGTCCAGCTTCTCACTCACTCTCCCTCCCAATACCCTATTTTCTTTTTCCTTTTCTCACCATCTAAACTTATTTTGTTTGTGTCCCTGCCTCACATACAACCCCACCCCAAGAATGTCATCTTCTCAAAAGAAGAAACCTTTTTCTCTTTCATTGTTATGCCCCAGAACAGTGCCTGATACAATAAATATGTCAAATGCCAGAATAAATTCATCTTCCAAAGAGTTTTTTCACATCCATCATCTCTTTTTATTCTCACAAGTCTGTGAGTGGGTGGATGGGTGGCCAAACATTCGCATCTAGCTTATTTCTGGGGAGGCGGCAGAGGAGGTTTCCTTGGAGAAATGAACACAGAAGCTGGGCGCTTGCCTCACGTTAGTTACCATGCCTCCATTCATGTTTTATTCTTATCATGCCACATTCTAAGAAGGATTTGAGAAGGCTGAGCTGGAGTGTGAGCAGATCTGACCAGCAGCCTCAGGGCGCCCTTGGTTTCACCTCAGGGAAGCCAACAACGCAGCTGGCTCCCCCTGTCCAGAACCCACAGTTCTGGCCATCTGTAAGGAATTTGCCTATTGGGGATTGGCTTGGTGTTGCAAAATCAAGAGAAAAGTTCCAACAGAATAATCCTACAGAGGTTATTCAGTACCCATTCCTGAGGAATCAGAGCTGGGCAAAGTAAAAAACCAACAGGACCCCATCGGTATGCTTTGAAAGAGAAGCTCCTTTTAAGGTCAGTATATGAGCAACGCATGAAGACGGGTTCCTTCAGAATCTCACGCTCATCAGATTCAACACCTAATTCTGCTGTGTGACCGTGGGGACAATGACACCATCTCAAGGGATGCTGCAATGCTTCAAAGCTGATTATTCAGCACAAACTCACGGAACGCAGCAACAGGTCTAACTAATCCAAAAGAAAAAAGCAGTACTATGAAGAAGAAAAGCTTTTTCAACAAATGTTGTCAGAGCAATGGACAGCCGTAGGCAAAAAAAGAAATTTGACCAAAACCTCCTACCTTATATAAAAATTAACTCAAAATGGATCATGGACTTAAATGTAAAACATAAAACTTTTTAGAAAAATAGGAGAAAATATTTGGAAACTACAGCTAGGCAAGGAGTTCTTAGAGCTGACATCAAAAACATTTTCCATAAAAGGAAAAGTTGATAAACTGGAACTCATCAAAATTTAGAACTTTGCTCTTTGAAAAATCTTTAAGCAAAGAAAGGCAAGCTATAGATTGGGAGATACTATCTGCAAAACACATAACTGATGAAAGGACTTGTATCTAAAAAATATGCAGCTCTCTCAAAACTAGCAGTAAAGAAACAATAGAGTTAGAAAATGGGTCAAGAAAAGGAAAAGATATTTCACTATGGAGACCATGTGGATGACAAATATTCACATGAAAAGATGTTCAACATCACCAGCCATTAGGAAACTGCAAATTAAAACTACAATGAGACATCACTATATCCTATTAACACTGGTAAAAATAAAGAACAGTGACACCATGCAGTGCTAATGAGGATGCAGAGAGCCTGGGTCACTCCCTGCGTGGGGAACAGGTAGTGGCACAGCCTTTCTGGACAACCATGTGGCAGATTCTTATAAAACCAAATATGCACATACCACATAACCCAAACTCACTTTTGGGCATTTATCTCAGAGAAACAAAAAGTATGTATAGGAATGTTCACAACAGCTTTATTCATACTAGCCAAAAGCTAGACATGACCTAAACATCTTTCAACAAGTGAATGATTAAATAATACTACTCAGCAATAAGAATGTGAAATGACGTTTGAAATAAAAAGGAATGAATTACTGATACAACTTGGATGGGTTTCAAGGGAAATGTGTTGAATGAAAATAGCCAATCTCAAAATTTCATTTATATAATATTTTTAAAATGACAAAATTACAAAAATGGAGGCTAGTTTAGTGGTTCCCAGCGGGTAGAGATGGAGTGGGAGAAGGGTGAGTGTGGCTATAAGAAGGCAGCACAAAGATCAGTGTAGTGATGGAACAGCTCTGTATCTTGACCCTGGTGGTGGTTACGACTACACATGTGATAAAACTGCACAGAACTTATATCCATTTAAATACGCATGTAGAGATAAGTGCATGTTAAAACTGGTAACTCTGAGTAAGGTGGGTGCAAGGTCAAGTCTTTGATGTCAAGTCTAAGAACTTTGCCTAGCTGTAGGTCTCAAACATTACAAAAATGGAATTGTGCATTGTACCAATGTCAATCTTTTAGTTGTGATATTACAGTAAACTTATATAAGATGTTACCATTGGGAAAAACTGGGTGAAGAGTATATGGAACCTCTATGAAATATTTCTTGCAACTGTATATGAATGTATTTTAAAACCGGTTAAAAAATTTTACAGTCACATCTTTCTTTCACTTACTATCCTCCTGACATTGTATATCTTCCATGTGTTTTCCTATGCTTACATACACTTTTTGTTTTAGCTTTGCAAAATGAGTATTTCACATATATTCTTGCTTTTCCTCATCACGACATATTCATGGACATCTTTCCAGTTAATACATATAGATCTTCATTTTTTAATGGTACTGTTAATGCATTATTTTTACCAGCAATACAGAGAATAAAGACGTAGAACTTACTCCACTGTCTGTGGTGAGAAAACCAGAGGGTACCTCTCAATTGCCATCGAGCCAGCAGTGGGTGGTGCAGCTTTGTTCAGAATAAGCTTGGCCAAAATAGCCAGAGCTTCATCTTTGACTGCGGTGTCATCAATCAAGAAGCAATTCTCAATATATAATAGAAAGCTGGGTAGAAAAAGCTAAAAATAAGAAAGAAAAGTCACACTATTAACATTCAAATTTCAGAACACCTAAGGAAAAGAAGAGTCTAACACTTCTACAGAGAAAAAAAAATATCATAACCAAGAATCAGGACTCATGATGGCATCAGAACTCTCCACAGGAACAATAAGAACCAGAAGACAATGGAGTGATGCCTGAAAAACCGAGGGAAAATGACAATCTTGAATTCTGTACCTAGCCTATTAGCAATACAGTGTGAGGAGAGAATAAAGACATATTCTGATGTACTAAATCTCAAAATTTTACTTCCGTTAACCTCTGAAGGAACCTCTGAAGAATGTTCATCAAAATAAGAAAGTAAACTATAACATAAGAAAAATGTGTGATCTAGGAAACAAGAGAAAAGAAAAGGATGGTTCTTGTCTGACATCTGTGCAGTGGGCTGAGAAAGCAACACACAGACTAGAATTCCTCCAGAAAAGGTTGAGCTAGATAATCTGACCATGTGTCATGTGAAAGGCATTCTACAATGCTGTTGGAAAACAGACTCACTGACCAGCTATTCAAAGAAAACAATTTCCAGTTTTTAAAAAATGAAGCAATTTCAGGAAAAATGCCAAGGTATACAAGAAAGGAATATAATTATAAAATACTCCTTTTTAAATAAGAGTCAAATATATGGTGAATATGAACTCAGCCAAAATTTGTGATATATTAAGATGAGAGGAGTAAAAGAACCATAATTCATCTACCATAGGAGGAAGTCTATAGATGAGGGCTAAAACTAATGCATAGAGGAAAAGCAGCAAATTCAGATGATTTAAAAATATAAAGTGAACACCAGAAAAAACACACCTAAAACCATCTAATGAGATGGTTTGCTCCTCCTGAGTAAGATGGGAGTAGAAAACAAGTGACTGCCTTTAGCCCTGTTTGACTTTAAATTTTAAACACCATAGAGTACTCTGATAAAGATAATATTTTTTAAAAAAAAAGGCAAAAGGGAACAGGGAAGAAGGAAAAGATGAAGTTACTAAAACAAAATTAAAATTTAAAAAGGCAGATAAAGGCCCCTCACTGGGCAGGAAGGAACAGAGCTGGTATGTGTACACAGACTTTTTTTCTTTGAGACAAAGGATAATATCTATTATTAAAGACTAAAGGGAAAATGAGAGAACAGATAAAGAGATGGGTTCCCATGAAGTATTCAAGGAGTGGCAAATGTTTGATGGGAGTGAGAGGAAAGGGATAAAATAAACTTAGGATAAGAAAGATTTCGACTTCATTCCATCAGGATCTATTGTGTAGCAATGAAATCAAATTCACAACAACCCTACAATGCAAAGTGTTTGAGAAACTATTTTCTATGCTTCAAATTCACATTAAAGTCTCTGAAACTGTTTCCCCCCTCCCCCCAATTTTACCATATGGTTTTATAACTCCCAAAAGGATTATTTAAAAACAAGTTGGTTCCTGAAACTAATATAATATTGAATGTCAAGTGTAACTAAAAAAATAAAAACGATTTAAATGCCTTAGCATATGGAATAAAACTTCACTGTGACCTGAAATTAGAATATAATCGCTTAAAAAATTTATACACATATATATGAATACAAACATCCAATGCATACTCTGTTCCTTTTTTTAAAAAAAAGGAAATAAAAATCACAGGATTTTAAATTTATTTTACTATAACTGATTAAAAACACAACAAATGGTAACATAGTATCTTCCTCACCTGCTCAAATTGCTTCATAGGAAACATGACTTCAGAAAAGTCCAAAATTAAACGTCTTTCAAATTGGCTCTCAAAAGTCTGTGAACCACAAATAAAAGAATTTTAATGTAAGCACACAGGGAGTACTTTCCCCATTCCTGGAAAAAACAAAGAAACAAAAACTTCCAAAACCTTCAAGGTCCTCCACTTGCAAGCAGAAAGTAGTGGGATGCTCAATACAAGTTAATACCATCACTGGAGGTGAAAAGAACTTGACTGCTGAGTCTGCGGTTGCGAGAGGGACACACCCAGTGGGAGACACAGGCACTGAGGCCCCTGCGGGAAAGCAGCTGGAGCAATCTGTCCCCTGCTAAGCCTTCTCCACGGGAACTTACACAGACTTGAAGGGCTTTGTGTTTCTAGTGATGACAAAGGGCTCTGCTAAAGCTGCTCGATTCTCTCCAGCTATGGAGAATTACAAAGGAGCCAGCAGTACGATTTAAACAGCACAATTTCCGCTATACTTTCTGTGCACTACATGAAGCTAGGAAGAATCTAACTGCTCTATTTTCAATCCCACTTCCCTCCAATCCATCTTCTAAACCAGTCGTGGGCAAACTACAGCCTGCGGGCCAGATCCGGCCCATTTGAAATGAATAAAACTATTGAAAAAAAAGACCGTATCCTTTTATGTAATGATGTTTACTTTGAATTTATATTAGTTCACACAAACACTCCATCCATGCTTTTG